AGCCAGAAGCAGCAACTAGGAACTGGGAGCCAGGAACAAGGAGCTGGAGGCAGGAGCAGAAGTCAGGTGCCAGGCCCAGAAGAAGCAAAGAAGGACCTGAGAGTAGGAGCAGGACACAGCAATGTGGGAGTGGAACAATATTGGGCAGCCAGGGACCCAGGCCTTCTGCAGGGTTTAATGATGTGCCTGCTGGAGTCTTCAGCCAACCAGTCATTAGCTGAACCATTTTTAGAAGTGGGCTCCAATGTTGCACATGCAACATGGGTAACTGCTTATCTACCTACATGCACAGTCAAATGAAAATCTGGGCCATTTAAACAGAGATCATACAAAATGCACATGCTCAAATTTAAAAGCTGGCTAAAGACTTAGCCCTGTATGCAAAATATACCCTTTAATTCCCCCCCTCCCCTCCCCGCCACCACTTCCTCCTTTTTTCTTTTTTACTCTTTTTACTGAAGCATGGACGAGGCAATTTTATGCTGGTGGGAAGAGACTGGTATAAAATATACTAAAACACCAGAGTATTGGTCAGTCTAACACTAAGATTACAAGTTGAAATGCTCAAAAGCAAGGATATGAAAATATTAAGGACTTCATGGTAATGTTAACTCAGCCCCACTGCACAAAGTGTACATTTTAGGGGATAGGTTTAGCAACAAACATTAATATATTAGGCTCTGGTTTTTAGAGGAAGCTTAAGGAGTTAGGTGCCCAATGGAATTTGAGCACCTCACTCCTTTAGGTGGCTTTGAAAATCCCTGCTATAATGTACACATTTACAAAGCAACATAGAAATAGAAACTACAACCCTCATGTGTTAACTTTACCATGAGAAACTTACTTTTTTCCAATTTCCTAACCTTTGTGAATCGAAAGTCATAACCTCAACATTACACTAATGTGCATTGCTTAGACTTCATTTTCCTTGGGTTCATCTCCCCTCAGGAAAAAAAACCACAGAGCAATCTGAGAGAGCCTACAAGCTTTCCTGGCAAAGCAAGGGTCTCCAAACGATTCTTTGTGATTCCATTAACTAAATGTAGTTTACTGGAGTTTGATCATTTTTATGGTTAAAAACCAAACACCCAAAACCTTGGCTGATGGCTTTGGTATGGTCTGTTCTTGCAAAAGATTATCCCCCGATTCCCATCCCTGAGTTTAGAGTTCTTAAATCCCCAGCTGAAGGGCGTTAATTTTACTGTATTTATTTTGGCACTCATGAACGTGCTGGAGTGACATCTTTGGAGACTGATGTTCCCTACTGAACCACAAAACTGGATCAGCATGAGCAACCAGAGTGCAGGCCTCCACCTTAGCCCTCCCCTTCCTCCCCACTCCATCCCACCCCACCCCACTCCCGGCTAACGTGCCTCAATCAACCCTGACTTAAACAGACTTCTCAGGGATGACCAGTCCTTGGCCAATATTACAAACAACGGTGCCAATCGGTGCCAGTTGTGTCACTTTGTTTTCAGATGTAGAAACTCCTGTAGTAGGAATGCGCAGAGAGTGACTTATAATGAAAAATATGTCCTTAGCAGTTGCCCCCTTCTACAACAGTTTCCTAATGTATCAGTTGTCCTTATCTGCTCATTTTCCATAGTGACCTATGGCATGAATCACAAGAAATTGCAGGGAATATACAAATCTAGCAGAGTGCCCAGCAATAAGGGGCTAATCCAGCCTTCTTCTGTGTGGCCTCAAATGAGCCTTTGGTGGTGGAACAGAAGCAGTTTTGGCTGCAGAAGGGCTGAAACTGGATATAGGCAGGTTACACATGGCAAGCACAACCTGTGAACAGAATAGGCTACCAGTCCATGAGAGTCCCCTGCACAGTAGTATGTAGTAGGCCAAAACAGGGCAAGAGTGTCTGTAGTTTCTCAGGCGGCACATAAGGGCCTGCAGAGTTTACTTCAGCTACCAGGCTGAGCTATTCTCCAGAGTGTTGCATTGCAGCCTGGGACTGATTCCTTCCTCCCAACCCCAACACATCTGCTCAGCACCCAATCTAGTCTCCTAGGTGTTGCAGTGGGTTCTGGATTTGCCCCTCAGTGCACGATTGTTTTTACACATTGGTAAGTTACAAATGTGCAGTATGTGAACTGGGAAGAGAATGAAGGTAACACAAAGAACAAGGATGGTTTTGTGGTAAAGACACTAGATTTGGACATAGAAGACTTAGATTAAATTTCCAAACTTCCTGTGTGAGTGGGCAAGTCACTTAATCACTCTGTGCCTCAGTTTCCCCCCTATTAAACTGGGCATAATAATCTCAACAGCACCTAAATGACAACTACAAAGAAATAAAAGAGTTGGAGCAACCAAATTAAAAACCCATGCAAAAAAGGGAACACACACATCTCCTGGGCACTTGAAGGGGAATATGTATTTTATTTCAAATCAAACCATTTGTTAGCTAGAACTGTGTTATCTGGCTTCAAGCCCTCTTTGACCGGCTGATTTGGATTAATGTAGACACTGGTAACTTCTAATTGTTCATAGCAAAAAGGCAATCTTCTGTTGTACACATCTGATTAATACAGGAGAATGTAAAAGACATGGAAGAGAGTACAGTTTGGGAACCAGGAGGCAAATCAAAAGCAACTGTACTGTCAGAGAAATTGTGTTTAAAATAGATGCTTTTAAACAAAGTTAAGTTGAATTTTTAAGTACACCTCTACCCCGATATAACGCTGTCCTCAGGAGCCAAAAAATCTTACCGCGTTATAGGTGAAACCACGTTATATCGAACTTGCTTTGATCCGCTGGAGCGCACAGCCCCGCCCCCCCGGAGCGCTGCTTTACTGCGTTATATCCGAATTAGTGTTATATTGGATAGTGTTATATCAGAATAGAGGTGTACTTATTTTAGTAATTCCAACATATTAGAATTTTTTTTTAAGTTCCTGCTGATAGAAATATATCCCTATAAAATAATTATATGCCATAGAAGTTTCATTATTGGATGTGACACAACAAACAAGCCAATCTATAGGCATATACCAGTTTGTTCACTCGCTAAATCTTTTTAGCAATTCATTTGCTTATGGGTGAGAGATTCTCAAGGCACACCACTTTAATGTCCCTCATTTTGAGAGTCATCACTCCTTGGAGCTCCAAAGTTCCCTACATTCCACAAAAAATTGGTGTCCCCTCATGTTTATTGTTGAAAATTATTTACATCAGAAGCAAAGAATCATGAAACTGAGGTTATGGAAAGAGTTGCTCACACTAAAGGAAGAAATCCTATAGTATCTTTAGTTCTCTGCATGAATAATATTTGTGTTCTCCTCATTGTGGATTTTTGTCACCCATTGTGTTCCACCTTTGGATCTTGGCAGATTGACAGGGACATTCTTAAGTCTGAAGCTAACCTTGTATTCTTGTTCCCCAGTGTGGCTTCTCTTTCACAACTCCTATATGTTACATGGCCTTTATGCTCCTTGTATCTGAACAGTACTTTGTATCATAAGAGTCACGCAGGGCCTGTCTTCTAAGCACTTTAGCATCATTATTAACGAAGTCACACAACAGCTCTGTGAGATAAGCATTATACCCATTTTCCAGATGGGGAAACTGAAGCATGGAGAATGTATATGTCTTGCCCAGTACCACATAGGAAGTCAGTGGGATAGCCAAGACTAGAAAACCAGGAGTCCCAACTCCCAGTCTCCTGCTCTAATTACTAGACAATGCTATAGCCTTTCTGTACATCACTTGATTTTGACAACATGCTAACTAAATGAGCACAAGAAATAAAATGCCCCTTTATCCCTTTGGAGGTCAAGTCATAAATAGAGAGAGGGGGGGAAAATTGCTGAAACCGCAAAATGATTACACTATGGTGATGTAAACAACTTAAAGTACTCCTACCAAAAAAGCCATTCTTAACTTATAAGCAGAATAAAAAGCATGGAATATTACAGACTGATAACTGATGTCTTTTATGTATGGACCAATCACCTTACTAACTCCACCTAAACTTGGATTATTTTGAGATTAAATGGATTTCTACATTAGATTTTGTATTCTGGACAGGGCCGGCTCCAGGGTTTTTGCCGCCCCATGCGGCGCACAAAAAAAAAAAAAAAAAAAAAAAAAACC